AAGAAGCTATGCACGATTGGGCTGCACCACTGATCGCTTCGGCTCTATTCGCGTTTCTATCGCCGGGACTAATTCTGCAGTTTCCGGGGAAAGAATCTCCGGTAGGTTTCATGAACATGAAGACGACGATAGCTTCCATTTTTGTCCACACTGTTCTCTACGGTCTCTTTCTCATCCTCTTCCTCGTTGTTCTCAACGTCCATGTCTATGCATAGCTCACTTATTAGTTATTACACTCGTGTGTTTGCCTCTGTTGTTGCAAGAGGGATTAATAGTGACGCTTTTGTTTTAGTACTTTGTCTTTGTTTCTCTTTCTTAATTACTCTGTTCCATCAATAGCCATTTTAATTACTATGTTCCAATAGATTTAAACTTTCTCATCAATGACCATTTCTTTTCAGTAACCAAAAATTCCGAAATCGAGTAGATTCAATCAATTCAATTAGTCTCCTTTCTTCCACCATTGATCGAAATCAAAATCTTGTTGATCGAATTCAAAATCTTTCTCGATTCTCCACTTTGGTACGCCGGTTAAACTACCTCACCGGATCAATATATGGTACACCGACTAGCTGTGTGTTTATGGGAGAAGAGACACAGAATATTGACCACGAGCTAAGGATACATGGTCTAAGGGAGTAAGGGTAAATACAAAGAATCTAAATGGTAAACGTTAGAGAAATCAATGGAATAAATAACCCATTTGACTACACTCGTGGCTCGGGTTGGGTTCAATCCGCATGCTTGGATTCAAATTGGCAAAAGTGAGGTTTGGATTGTTTACATACAACTCTTAAAACTCTGAAACAAGCTTCTTGTAAATTAGCAAAGGTAACGTATTCATGAACAAAAAAGACTAAACATAAAGAGACAAGGAAAGATTCACATCTATTTTTTTAGCACTCGGGACTGGTTTCAGCATCATCGATTGCAGCAGAAGCAAGAACAAGCTGAGGGCTAGGAATTGCGTAAGTGTAATTCTCGCGTCTCGCCTTCTTCTTCTCCCTTTGCAATCTAAAAGATTCTCTCTTTCTTGCTCTGTAACTGTTAGGATTCTCCGGCACAATTTCTCTTGGGTACACACTAATCTGCAAAAACAAAAACAAAAACAAAGACATCCCACTTTTGAAAATCCAAAAAGAAAAAGAAAGCTTATACCGTCTCATTGACATGATGATTCATAGATTTACCTTCTTCCTGTCAGGACCAAACTTCTCGAACTTCACTAATCCATCGATTAAAGAGAAGATAGTATGATCTTTACCAATCCCAACGTTTTTTCCAGCATGAAACTGCAAAAAACAACATCCATGAATCAATCTCCTCAAACATAACACTTTCATCTTAAACAAAAGCATGACTTAGAGGTACATTCTAAAATGGAATCTGAAACAAGAGCTTCTGAGTCACAGTTCCGTGTTATCATTCATGAATCAATCTCCACAAACAAAACTAATTTCATCATAAACACAAGAAAATGACCAAGAAATGGAATCTGTAACAAGAGCTTCTAAACAAGCACCACACAGAACTACTGAATCAATCTCCTCAGATAAATTAGCTTAATCCTAAACACAAGCAAAAACAGAGCTTGAGAGCTCAAACCCAACCTTGCCAAATCCCAGAATTGAAATAACATAAGAAGAGATTTTTTTACAAACCCAGAAGCTCATTGTGAACCATAAACATTCTGGAATAGAATCTGAAGCAAGAGCTTAAGAGTTACCTTAGTGCCACGTTGACGAACAATGATGGCTCCAGGTTTAGCGACTTGGTCACCGTAAATCTTAACACCGAGTCTTTGACCAGGAGAATCACGACCGTTCTTAGTACTACCAGCTCCTTTCTTATGCGCAGATTCGATCGTCAATGGAATCGGAGCTTGGAGATTTTCCAATGGGAGAGTCACTGTGAAATTTGTTTTAGGGCAAAAACTCAAATCGCCTCTGAGAAACGACGAGGTTGAAGAGAGAGATAAGCCTTTGAATGCTCCAATTAGATTCAAACTCATCGATGTCGCAATCGCCATTGCTAAAAATCGAACCCCAGAGAAAATCTGTGGAATTTTGAAACGGGGGAAATTAGGGTTTTTGT